CTACAAATTTTGGCTCTACCTGTGCTCACCCCTACATGTGACTATTCATTATCTAATCTTGATTTTAATACTTTTTGTCTCTGTACTTTTAGCATTTATACTTGATATTTGATTGTTTACTTATGTTTGTGGGGATTTCAAATTTCTTAATCATATGTTTATCAGCAATAATATCTCAAGAAAGTCTTTGTTCATGATATTTAATAAAGAATAATACTATATTTACAAAGAAATTTTACAAAGATTTTCTTACAAAATGATGTGGCAAAAAATGAATAGAATAGTGAATTTAATGAGTTTGACTTTTTGTTTAATAAAATGCTAGGACTTATGATCATTTTGTTTCGTGAATTCTCAGAATCCTCCTTGGGAAACTTGCCTCTGTCAATTTACAGAACCTCACCCGTCAGGAGAAGCTTGCATTCTGGATAAACATTTACAATTCCTGCATGATGAATGTACATGAGCCCTTCTTTGAACATAAGTAAAACCTCCTCAACTGTTATTTTGAATTCAATAGTTTTTTAGCCATCAATTTTCAAATATGTTTTACTACATTACTTTATCTAATCCATGTTTGTGATTATTTATGTTCAGTTAAGTGGTAAATTTGTTCTGTGCCTCTGCATTAGAACCTTGAAGAGTTACCTAATTTAATTGGACTTTCTTTCTATTTCTAATAAAGTTTTGAGTTTTGGTCCAAATTACTAAGACTGGAAGAGTACAAGAAAGGTCATGTGGATGCAGCCAAAATATTGAACATTCCTTACATGTTTAACACACAGAGGGTATAAAATTTTGTTTTTACTAATGATCTTTACCTTCTAAATTAAGTTCTTTAGTAATTCAGTTCAGTGAGTTTTAAACCATATGATTTATGGTTTCAGGTAGAGTGAAGAATCTTGATTTCTTGAAGGAAGTTACATCCCTTTGCAAGGAGGAAGATATTTATGTCGTGGTAATTTGTCATTTTCTTTAATTATTATTACAGTTCAGACTTATCTAATTTGAAAAATTTAGACCAGTAATAAAAATTATATAGTTTAATGACATGTGATTGATTCTGTAAATAGGGCTGTCAAAGTGGAGTCAGATCTCTTCATGCAACATTAGAAGATAGTGCAAAATATATTAATGGCTACTGCACTCTTCAGGGAAGTTGTAAAGGAAGTAGATGAGTTTTGCAACCTTTAAGTTTGAAGAATAAAAAAAGTTCAGCAAGTACAGGAATTCCAGTTTAAGGGAGAGCAGATTGAATGTGTGTTGGCAGATTGGCAGTTTGGAGAAATTTGGGAAATTTGGATTTTACAAAGGTTGATCGTGTTACATGTCTTTTTTGCAGATGTGCAATTAATTGTAATAATAAAAATATATTAAATAAATTTCACTTCAAAGTTAAGATTGCTCAATATTAAATTGACTACTTGATTCTCTATATGCTACTTTATTTTGCTTTCAATTTTAATCTTTACCAAATCCAACAATCCCTATAATATTACCTACGAAAAAAATATACTTGACAATTGTTATGGCTGAATATAAATGGTTTTTGTCATTAGCATAAATCTATTTACAAACTGTTTCAAAAACATTTAATAAACATACCCGCGTAATGCGTAGACCTTTCATCTAGTTTACTTCTAAATTACTCGGGTATCTTGATCTTGCCTTAAAGACATCAAACGGATAAAACGTCCGGTTGTTTCCATATTTTATATCTTATTCTCAATTCTATTCTCAAAATAACCGTTTGTTTCATTATCCTCAAAATACTATTATATTTTCTTCAACTATTTTTAAATCCCTTAAGTTTATTAATTTAACTAAACACCCTTGGAAAAAAAAAGTTTAAAAATTAATAAAAACACCCCCATCCACCCACCCACCTTTGTCAGATTCCGGTCACCACCGTCGGAAGGTAGCCAGAATCTAGTATAATGGCACACTATCAGCTGGATCTGGCTGGTAGTGGGCCGATTTATCATTTTTCGGACAGATCCATGGCCAAAGGCCAGATCTTTGGCTATAGTTGGTCGTCAATGACGACCATATCTTTGGCCATAGCTAGTCGCCAACGGTGGCCATATATTTGGCTGTCGTTGACGGCCAGAAATGGCCGTAGATCTGGTCGAAAAAGGCCATATTGGCACACGAACGACCAGATCCGGTCGGTCATGGGCCGTAACGCTAGATTCCGACGGTGGTGGTGGGAATCTGGCAACTGTTGATGGGGGTGTTTTTGTCATTTTACAAAAAATTTATATATTGGGGTGTTTAGTAAATTAGCGAACCTAAAACTATTGATAGGGGTGTTTTTGTCATTTTACAAAAGTTTTATATATTGGAGTGTTTAGTAAATTAGTGAACCTAAAAGGGTGTTTTTGTTAATTTTCAAATTCTATCTCGTTAGTCTCACCCAACTCTAAAAATATGAAAAATCTTATCCAAAATAATAAAGGCTCTGTTTGGGTCTCTTTTGGGAATACTACTATTAGTATTCCCAATAAATTTAAATAGTAAAATAACAAAAACACAATATTATTCAATATTATTCAACTTTTTTTAAACCCCTTAAATTTGTTAATTTAATTAAATACCCCTAAATATTTTTTTTAAAAATTGCAAAAACACCCCAACAACCCACGTTTACCAGATTCAGGCCACCACTGCCGAAAGATGGCCGGAATCTAGTATAACAGCAAACTATTGGCTGAATCTGGTCGGTAGTGCGTCGATCTAGCCTTTTCTGGCTAAATCCACGTTGGATCTGGCCGAAAAAGGACAGATCTAAGGCCAAACGGCCAGATCTTTGGCCGTAATAAACGACGACCATATGTTGGCCGTTGTTGACGAGCAAATATGACCAGATATGGCCATCAATGGCCAGATCTAGTCGTAGATCTGGTTTTTTCCGGGGAGATCCAACGTAAATCTGGCCGGAAAAGGCCATATCTGCGCACGACCGACAAGATCCAGCCAGTCATGCACCGATACGGCCACTCCAGCCACCCTCCGGCAGTGGTGGCCGACTGTCCATATTTTTTGGGTAGGTTGGGGGTGTTTTTGTTAACTTTTAATATTTTATTATAGGGGTGTTTAGGAAATAAATAAATATAGGGAGTATTTTTATTAATTTCCAAATCCTACATCGTAATACCTGCCCAATTCAACTTTTTTTAACTTTTTTCACAAATTTTTTCTAAAAAGTGTAAAAAAGTGAACCAAATGTAGCCAAAACAAACGGACCAGATATGAATTAAAACAAGTATTTTTTTAAATCTTTTTATAAATAAAATATATTAAAGTAATCATTAATTTTATACGTTAAAATAATAAGAAACTGTAACATTATTAACATAAACCCAAATTCATTTAACTTGATTTCCAGTTTGTTCCTAGTTTGTATGCCAAAAAAGAAAAAAAAAAAGTTTATATATATATATTCTCAGTTTTTGTGCACCACAAGTTTTCAAATAATTCTCTTTAGCTTAAGACTGTTGGCCGAGTAAGAGCTCTAATAGTCACTCCCCTATTAGTGTTTGGGATGACTCGAACTCAAGAGCTCATTAAATCGTCTTTTGCTTGCTTATCATTAGGCCACTCAATGGTGGTTCAATAATATTTTACTTTCAACTAAATCATATAATCAAGTCATATAAACAAACAAAAATTGTACAAAATTCATGTAATATCACTACTTTGTCCTTTGTTTTTTGTCTGTTTATATGATTTAGTTGTATGACTCGGTTGTAAGCATAGTATTGCTCATGGTGGTTTATAACCAAATATTTTTCTTTAAAAAAAAAATAAAAAATAAAAAAAACCCTCAAAATATTATGCCAGCTATGGAAGTACTCTTAATAAATGAGTTATGTAATGTAGATAAAAAAAAAAAAAAAGAACAAATCTCAAACAATAAAGGAAAATCTTTTCGTCCTTTATTGTTTCTCTGATGAAGTTGAAGTGGAAGAAAACATTTTCCTTGGATGGCTTTTAATAGCATTTACTGATTTAGCTGCTTCATGTCTCATAGTCTGTTAAAGTCAATTTATCGGGGTTTCAAGTCAAACCTAATATCTAACCTCAATTCCAAATGCTTGAGACTCCTTGGCATATGAATTTTGGGAATCCATTAAAATTTAACTATTCTTCCAATGAAAATAATAATAATAATAATAATAATAATAATTTACTGTCCTCACAGGTATGTGTCCAACATCAGCTTTCTCTATGCCTGAGCGCAGAGTGCCATTGTTAAAAATACAAAGCAAATAATGTATATGGCCCAGCAAAAGAGAGTAACAGTTCAACAAGAGAAGAGAGATTCTTTAAAATATATCCTTATTTATCTTCTTCCCTGAATGAAACAAGATTTAAAGCAAAAATCATGCAAAACAACTATATTTAAGTGGATCTAAAACTTTAAGATCTGCCCAAGATATTGTTTTCGTCACACTGACACTTGAAAAATGGGCATTTAGATAAAACTTCTCGGTTAGGTCTCCAGTAACATCCACCCAGTTCAAAAGGAGGGTCTTTAGAACTCTTGATAAAAAAAGGTCTACAGATATCTCCATCCGGAGTGCTCTGTTTCATTCATTGTTTGGAAAAAAAATGGCTAGGATATGATGAAATAAAGAAAGACCAGGTTGTCCAAGTGAGACAAAACCTTAAAGATGATAAAATTGATCAAACAAAAACATTCTATTAAGTAATAGCCTTCATTTGGTTGAAAATGAAATCACATTCTTTGAACTCAAATATATCAGTTGTTTGTACCTTTTTATGAACAACTTGTGGCAATGTTACTGATCTTTACTACACTTAACAAACGAGAAAGAAGCAAAAACCAACCACAAATTTCCAAGGGATTGTTCCTGCAAACAGAATATAACTATGTTTCTTCAAAATCATTGCACAATGAATTTTTTGTCACAGTTTTCCTTATATCATGTGCTCAAGCAAAGTAAAAAGAAAAGGACAAATTTGAAATTCTTGGATATTATAATAAGATGCAAACTGGCTTCAAAATACAAATACAATAAATTTTTTATCCGCGACTAAGCTATGCAAAAGCTATTAGTATTGCTTGCTGGTTCTATGAGCCTCTCAGCTTGTGCATCCATGATTCATTGCCGCCATCTTGAACATAAACTATTTCACAAAAATGTAGTTTATCTAAATCACTTTCAGATGATTTCAACACATGGATCTACCCCTGTAGTTGCAGATACTTGATTATGTTCCTTGACCATCAGTCTTCTCAACTTCAAAAACCACTTAACCAAACTCACAGCATAGTCATACAAACTCAGAGCAATATAGAGCCCAATCCCACCAATAATCCCATTTGCAATAGAATAAGTCAGTGGCATTAGAAGAATTGTAATAAAAGCCGGCACTGCCTCTTTCATGTTCTCCCAATTTATATCCTTCACCACTTTCATCATCATCACCCCAACCATCACCAGCGACGGACCAATGGCCCATGAAGGTACATTGGTCAATAGAGGAGTGAAAAATAGTGATAAAAAGAAATACAACCCAACAATCACAGCCGTTAATCCTGTTCGGCCTCCTTCTCTTATCCCAGCTGATGATTCTACGTATGTTGCAATTGGAGAAACTCCTAATGCTGACCCCATAATTGTGGAGCTAGCATCAACCATGTATGCTAAGTACTCCCCTTCGAAATTTCCTTTTTCATTAACAAATCCAGCCAATTCTGCCATGGTGTACAACGTTCCTGTTGTGGAAAGCACATCAACATATAGCAACGTTACTAAAGCCACCCACACTTCACTTCTGTTGAAGTTACTAAAACTGATAGCTCCTGCTGTGGATTGGATTTTGTGAAAGTCTACCACTTTCTGAAAGTACATGTAATTTTCATCACCAAGTGGAGTGTCAGGAAAACATGTCACAGCTGTGCCTCTAATCCATGAAATTAATGTTACAAAGACAATACCATAGATCATGCTCCCCTTAATCTCCTTCATTAACCCATAACAAGTGATTAAGAACCCAGCTAGGCCTAGCCAAAATGTTGGGCTCCTCATTTTTCCGTCCTGGCATGCACCAGTAACTGGGTTAGTACTAGCACAAGCAGTGATTGTGACCAATGTGGACGAATCAGGCCCAACGAGGCCCAGACCCTGGTGAATTTGCAACCCAACAAAGGCAATGAACAACCCGATTCCTACTGCACAAGCAAGCCGGACTGGCTGTGGTATAAGCTTAGCAAGCTTTGCGCGCAGTCCAAAAGCGGCTATTACAAGAAACACACAGCCCTCAACTAACACCACTGCCATGGCAGTCTGATAGGAGATGGGTCCAGAGCCATGGAACCCCACTAAATTATAGGCTAAATAAGCATTTGCGCCCATACCTGGAGCCAGGCCTAATGGCAGATTGGCTAACATTCCCATGGCTATCGACCCGATCATAGATGATAAAACAGTGGCTACAATAAGGTCGTTCTTTGTTTTCGTCAGGCAGTTTTGATAGCCAGCGTTAGGCTTGAACATGCAGTCAGGGGTAGCTGTTTGGTTCACCGGAGCTGAGCAGTCGGCGACGGAGCATGTGCCACCGGAGTCAGCAAGGATGGTGGCGTTAACAGTTATGATATAAGCCATAGTGAGGAAAGTGGCAGTAGCAGCACGTAGCTCCTTGGTGAAGCAGCTTTTTCTAGCTTGTAGCCTGAAGTACTTGCCCACTATGCTCTTTGAAACAGCGTCGTTCAGACCTTTCTCCATCTCTGTCCACGATCTTGCCACTCTTCTGCATAGCCCGGTTCCCATTCTTGAACATAACTCACCTCCCATGTCTCTCTCTTTCTCTCTTTAACGATGAGTGAGGTTAATGAAAGGGAATATCTTGATAGATTTTATAGAACAAATGGGTATTCAGAGGAGAGCAAGTACATTCATTAGTAGTGTTTTGCAATATAAAAGCGCCGCTTCATTACCTGGCTTTGCTATATAATATAGTTTAACTAATAATATTAATTTGCTAAACTATAATGTAAAGATATATTAAGCCAGGAATTAATGCTACATAAGATTCGATTTGACTCTCTGACTACACTATCCACTCAGTGTAAACTGTAACGCTTAATTTGTGCATTGTGTTTGCCTAATTCTTTTATGGTAATTAATTAATTAGCAATTAAGGATAATGACACTCGACAGAGAGGTACTTGCTGTGTTTAATTACTATTTCTTGTCCTCTCCCGTCAACATCTATCATCTTCATATCCTTAAAAGCTTAATACATAGATTATAGTTCCATTTTAAACTAAAGATATGGTATCACCTAATTTGATAATTAATCTAGAGGTATGACATCAATTGTCATGCTGTTTTCTTATATCAAGTTAATTACTAAATAATCAACCCCTGGGTGGTTGAGTGGTTTAATAAATACTTAATTTTCAGTATATTATTCAAGAGGTTCTGAATTCGAGTCCCTCCTTGGTTCCTGCTAATAAGGATGACAACTGGAGCTTTTATCCGACCAATAATTTCAGGGTTCTGAGAGATTAGTTGAGATACGCGTAAACTGATTCAGATACTTCCGGTCATTAAAAAAAAAAAAAAATTAATTACTAAATTCGAGTATTAAAAATGAAAAAGACACCCAACTAAGAATATATACTATATCTCAAATAAATAATATCTTTATTAGGGTTCCTTTAAGCATAAAGAAACACTTATACAAGACGCATATTTGCGTAATGCAAGGAAAGAGTATTAATTTTACAGGGTTTGGTTTGTCTTCATTGTCGAAATTTGATACTATGAGCGTGTGTCTGGATTCTTTGCTTACTCTTTCACCAACTGGGTGAGACGAAATTATATTGAGTCTGCATACTCAATATATGGGTCCAATTTTTGTATTTAAATTGTCTACCTGCAAACAAAGAAGAATAATTTAAACCCACTACCTTCTACTTTAGTCCATTAGAGAAATATTTTTTTTATATAGGAGTAGCTCGAAAATTCCAAAATGAAAATCTTTTGACGATCTAATTATAAATCATTTTCCTATGTACAACTCAACTCACTATTCAAAGGAATCTATTAAATTGTTATGTGGCCCCTAGAACAGTACTGGTAGGCATTTAACTATTACTACAATAAACAGTAACGGGTTTTGTTAATTCCTCCAATAATATCATCAAGTGACGCGTAAACAAACCATTTTTGGGTGGTCGGATGGAATGATAGAAACTTTTAAGTGTATTATTCAAGAGATCTTGAGTTTGATTCGCCTTGATTGTTAATAAGGATGACTACTGTAAGGTTTACAGGATCGTTAACTTTAGAGCTTCAAGAGTTGCTAATAGGGATGACCATTGAAGGGTTTATCCGGTCTTTAACTTTAGGGCATCGAGAAAAATTAAAATAATAATAAGTGACATGTAAACATGTAGAGAAATAAAATAAACTACTATATTATTCTCAAATTATATATATTTTTGATACTCGATCTTCTTCCTTTGATCATTTATATTCTTTGTTCCATTAAAAATCAATATTTCTTGTAGAGAAATGAGAAAAATATATGGGCAAATGCATTTTTTGATGTGTTCAAAAGCTTTTCATTCTTCCTCGTTACTTGTAAGATTCCATTTCTTCAACTTTAAATGGAAATAGATGGTTTGATTTTTTTAATTAGTAATGGATTAATAAAATAAACAGAAGCTAGCTAGTTATGGAGTCGTGCTCGCGCATGCTGATGCTTTTTGAAATAATGTGTCGACCTGCCTTTTCTGGTAGCGTTTCTGTGATGAAAAAATAGCAATACTTTTAAGCATACCAAAGTTGAATATATATTTCTGGCATGCTTTTGTCTGCAAAGAGTTATAGATTTATCGTAACAAGAACCAATTTGGTGTACTAGTAAGTTAACTTTTGTTATACCTCAAAAATTACACTGATGTCAATTGTACCTAAAAGATAAAGTATATTAGCTATCAAACATATATCGTCTCTAAGATATTTTATATTAATCAGGGGCAGATCCAGCCCATTTTTGGTCCACCCTAACAAATATATTAATTGACAAAATATTAATATGTAATAAGTTTTTGTTTTGGCCCACCCTAAAAAAATTTTTTGGATCCGATACTGATATCAACCCTATCTCATTTTAAGATAAAGACAAATGAGAACTTTTTATGTGTTAAGACAACTTGCAAAAACACTCATTACATTGACCTCAAAGATGTATATATAAATGGGCACATCTTTTCGTGAAAAAGGGGGCTGATTGAGCATATGAGAGCTAGACAAACATTTGAGCTTCATTATTTCTCTCTGTAAATAAAGTATTTCTTATGTCTTATGGTCAATATCAGAAAAAAAGTCAAAGAATAATAAAATAACAGTGGATGTAGGATTCGCTTTAAGTATCCGAACCGCTATAAAAATCTCTCTTGTCTATCTATTATTTATGTTTCTGCAAACATATATAATCTCAACACTGTAAACTCTTTTTATTTATCATTCATGTGTAATTTTTAAATCCGCTTAGTATTTTGTATGTGCAAATAGTTGGTGTCAAAATCAAACATTAACAACTTTTATATAAGTTGTTAAGGGAAATCTTGATTGATGGGTATCGGATGATTATTTTTATTATGATATGCATATATTATAGAAATCTTAGTGGAGCATGCGTGAAAAAGAGAAGGAATTTTTTTAATGCAATTTGAAACTTGAAGGTGCAGCGGGTTCATCTTTTCAGAGACAATTAATGGAAGTGGGAAAGTAGAAAGAAAAAAGTGTTGCAACAGCGTCAGGTTTTGGCATTACTTAGAGAGGTCGAAGAGAGAAATGGCATATTGATCAACTCATTAAAGTTATAGAATTCATCAGAATTAGCCGGATGGCTTTATTCTTTTCAGGTTCTGAATTTTGTGTTTATCTCCATCATTTTACCCATTTACGATTGTGGTCAGGTCAAGAATAAAAGTCTTATAAACGTGTTAACTGATTAATTTAATGGATCCTTTTTGGGTTTGAAAAGCATATTTGACTCTTTTTTGTCTGCTTTATTATATATAAATTCAGTTTGTCTGTGATGAGTGAGTAATTACATAGAAATTTAGAAAGAACTGATGCATGATGCTTCAATGGCATCTCTCAAGTATAAACGATTAACGATATATCAATATGTCGTTTAGTGTTTCATGCAAATGAGAATTCCATATCAAAACGACATGATTAGTACTTGATCACCTATAAAACCCCTTAATTGACAACTGTGTGATTACTGATTAGCATTGATCATATGATCGATCATGTTCTGCATCAGACAACTTTCTCTGTAGAATAAGTTCTTATTAGCGTATAAACTGCCACGTTTTTTTTGTTTTATATGCCATCCCTTCATCGCAATCACAACCGAATAATCCCAAAAATGAAACAGTGGCGATTGTCGTCTATGCGTATGAGTATCAGGTTCAGGTTCGTGAAGAAATTCAGTGGGGAAGGAATTTATTATTCATGGCAAGCAGATTAGGTTATGTTACGTTCCATCAAGTAATTTATCAGCACGGAAATCGAATAATCTCATTCTTATGGATACGACTACGAGAAATTTTGGATTAGGATAATGACGTCAATGAAGCGACCGCCCATCAATTACAAATCATTCAGATATGTCGGAGGGGCGTCACCCGCATAAAAATTACGTTTACTTTTTAATATTCAAACTGGATATATACCATCATCAAACTATTATATTTATCTATATATGCATGCAAATTAGCTTGTTTAATTTTATGTCAAAATATAGGTCGACCTATTCCGAATAATTCAATATATTACGTATACCTGCCAACACTCAACAAGGACATTAGTAAATGGTTATAACACCCAGATTAAGGTACGTAACTTTATTTATGTCCTAATATCCTTAGTTAGATTTTGTTAAAGTTATCTTGAACAAGTGTTAAGGAAATTCTTTAAAATGTTATTAGGAGTAAAATAGTCTTTCACTCATAATTAGTTGAAAAAGTGGGGAGTGAAAAGAAGTGGAATAACATGAAGAAGTTAATAAAAATGAGGACATTTTTGTAATTAACTAAGGGACATAGATGAAATTTTTAGAAAGTGCAAGGATAAAATGGGAAACTATATATATATTATTATATAATAAGAGTTCAAGAAGAGAAACTCTAACCACTCTACCCATAGTTCACACCACCTTCACCCCAAATTCTCTCAAATTTCTTCACTCAATTTTCAAGGAAATTCATAGGATTTTAGTTCAATTTTGATAGATTGTCAATCCTAAGCATCCAAAGGTAAGATTCTTGAACCAAAATGTGAGATTAAATTTTAAAGTTTTGAATTCTTATGGTTTTATATGCTTAGAGATTAAGGGGAAAATGAATTCTACCAAAGAGAGATTATAGTGTTGGAGTTGATCAAATTCAAGGTAAGGAAATCCAACTTTAGCTTTGATTAGATAAATACTTGTGTAGAGAAATTTTTATATGTCGTATGTGTGTTTGGATGATGAGAATTATGGATTGAAAATTGAGGTTGTTTGATATGTGAATTTCATGGCCATGAGAAGTAATATATTATATGTGATGAGAAGTAATTTATTATATGTGATGAGAAGTAATTTATTAGTATGTGATGAGAATTGATGTATTTGCATGTGTTGAGTTGATGGGATTTTGGATGAAAAATGAAAGAATACATGTAGAAAGGTGGAGGATGAAATTCGGCTAGGTTGATTGTTGGCTTTAGAGAGTTGTTTGCTCCAATTTTGGTGACTTGAGAGATATGTAGAAGTGTAACCAATTTTAGAGTTTGTATGTGCATGTAAGGTGTTTGATGAAATTTCAAAGTGAAGTGTATATATGAGTATGTTAGATTATTATCTTGTTATAGAA